TTTTTTTTTTAATTACCGACATAAACTAGTCATTCAATGAGGTTGACAATAGCTTTCTGTGATGGAGAGAAGAATTTACATCCCTCCTGGAATATCTCCTCCATTCAGCCATGACAGAAAACAAGCTTTATCAGTAAGTTAAAAGGATGGGGTTATGCATTCAACCAAAATATAAACTGCGGCTTTCTAATAGTATCGTATGTGAGAGGAAAATAAAAATTTCAATTAACATGTGAAATCAAAACATAGTTTCTCCTCTGGGTTGGTGCCTTCATATAGACCCTTGGTGTTCCTGGCCTGAGACACTGCAAGAGATTCTAAACTCATCTCCCTGCCTCCTGTCTTACAACTCTAATCCATCCTTTACCCCAATGGGAGATTTTCTCAAATGATTTTCTCTAACAATTCCTTGTTTAACTTGGACTGCTAAGTCCTAATACCAACAGGATAGGATTCAAACCTCAGTGTCTTTGATATCCCTGCCCTGACCTCTGTCACAGCACTGACACTCACATGTCCCCCTCCTGGACTGCTTGCTGCCATACGAAAGGGCTCATTTCTCATTCTTCTCTGTGAGACCCTGACRCCTAACGGAGGACTGACAAGACAGTAGGAATTGGTATACACTTACTAAGCAGGTCCAAACGGCCTAATGAAATATCYAGGTGGCCTTCCATGACCCATAGACCCAATCTGAGCCTTTATATCTTACCAAGGGAGCAGTTGCTCTGCATCCGTCCATCTGTGGAGCAGCGAAGCATGGAGCCGATCACCTGGYCCCCTACCACAACCACCCGGATATCTTTTCCGTGGGACTCCTTCACATACTTCTGGAACAGGTAGGGCACATCATGGCGGACTAGATGGCAGATGTCTGAAAGGTGATGTTTGTCTCTTGCCAGAAAAACAGCTTTTCCTTTAGGAAGAAAGATGAAGAGCAAGAGAAACAGTTAGTTAGGGAAGCCTCAGGCCCCTGTCCTTGCCATTATGCCTCCCTGTCCCAAATGAGCATCAGTTCTCTCTGAACTTACCTCATTTTGGCCCTTTCTATTTCTCTGATGAGATTCCTGCTTCTTATCAAATGGCCATTGAACCTTATTTTCTCTTGATTTTCCTCAGGTCTTAAAATACTGTTGAGTCTCTCCCCGTGAGAAAACCACCACTCTTCTCAAAATGAAACAGTAATGCATTCCAGAAATACAGAGAAGGGGCTAAAATAAAATCCTAAGGATCTAATCAAATCCATTCCAGAAAGAGTTAATTAGCATTTCCTATCACCTGAGGATGATGATTGGGCAGGGTCCATGGCCAACACATTTTTTTTTTGTATCCCCCAAATCTCACACTGGGCTTGGTATACAAAGCAGATGTCCATCAATGTTTACAGAGCACAATTAATTGAACATTTTTAGAGGAATCCGAAGTGGGTATGGAAAGAAATTCAAAACAGGCAACCATAATACAGCATGATTTGCATTAAAAGAGGTCTATGCAAAATCTATGGGAGCTCAAAGTAGGGAGCCCTGACAGAAGTCCTATTTATTATTTATTTATTTAATTTTGAAAGGAAGGATCCATATTTCTATTGCTTTCTGGGAAAGCATTCCTTCTTGATTCTAAATTTTTTATTTCCTGATTGAATCACCTATGGTTTTATAATTTTTCAGTATCTGCTTTCATTTGCATATTAGTCAACAGATCTGAGCAGGGGTTCCTAAAAGATTTGCTGTGCAGATCTGTCATAAGTATGCCAGTCTGAACACTCTTTTCAGCAAAGACGGAACAAAGAAATGGTTTTCCCAATTTCATGTCACCATCACAAAAGAAGTGAAAACTCTCTGAAGTTTTTTTTTTTTTTTTTTTTTTTTGTAATAGTACTAGGGATTGAATCCAGGGTCAGTCTACCATTGAGCAACATTTCCAGACAATTTGATTTTTTATTTTGTCATAGGCTCTAAGTTGCTGAGGCTGATCCTCCTCCTCAGCTTCCCAACTTACTAGGATTACAGGCATGTGCTACCACACCTGGCCCTCCAAAGTTTCAATAAAAAGACTGATGGGCATCAGTTCCTAGTGGCATATAAGACTGAAAAATAACTTCCAAAAACATGACATAACCAGTAATTCATTCCTGAATGAATCCAAGACATTCAACAGAACTGGAGGAGTGCAAGCAAGTGATCTGAAGATGTCCAAGTGACAGGTGGTAGGAGGGTGTGCAGTTAAGTGGGCAGTCAGTGTCATTTGGAGAGGGTCCTGCAAGGGCACAGGAAGAAACAGGAGTGACACAGAACAGTGAGTAGACACAAAACAGCATCTGACTTGTTCCAAGTCTCAATTAATGAGCAGAAGTATAAGCAGTTAGACACTTGGCATCAGGAGATCAGGCATCTGGCAACAGATGGCTGGGGTTTAGTTAGAAGCACTGGAGTTCTCTGGACATTAGGTGGGATTTTCAGTAGAGATTGGTGGCTAGGGATTGGTTCAGAGGTCCTAAAATGGGGTTTTAGTCTGCAATGAACAAAGGAATAGCAGTTTTAAGGCAAGGAGAAGAAAAAAAAAAAAAGAAAGAAAGGCACAAAGATTAATCATCTACCAAGTGCCAAGCACTTTTTCTCTTATTATTTCATTTACACTTCACACTAGTCCTATGAAGCCATGAGTAAGGATGGTTATTTCTGTTTTATGGATAAGGAAATAAAAGGTCCATAAGCTTAGTAACTTTCTCAGGGGCACAGCCCGTGCATTCACTCCCTCCTTGGATTTATTCCATACAGTTGGCTCTGTATATGTGAGGATTCTCCATCTGAAGATTCATCAACCACAGACCAAAAAATTATTAAAAAAAAACACAGTATCCATACTGAACATGTAACAGATATTTTTCCTTGTCATGATTCCCTAAACAACACAAAACAATTATTTATATAACATTTGCATTGTATTACATTTTGTAAGTAAACTAGAGATGATTGAAAACATACAAGAGGATATGTGTAAATTATTTGCAAATGCTATACCATTTTATATAAGGGTCTTATGCATCTACGGACTTTAGTATCCCTGAGGGATCCTAGAACCAATCCTCTGTGTATGCCAAAGGACATTGATACTATAGTCTAACTTAAAAGTACTGAAACTCGGCGCTGGGGATGTGGCTCAAGCGGTAGCGCGCTTGTCTGGCATGCGTGCGGCCCGGGTTTGATCCTCAGCACCACGTACAAACAAAGATGTTGTGTCCACCAAAAAACTAAGAAATAAATATTTTTAAAAAATTCTCTCTCTCTTTAAAAAAATAAAAAAGTACTGAAACTCTGTTTATTCCCTATCCATTTTTCCTTCTACTAGACTGTACATTGCATTAGTAACAAATCATCTGAAAACAAAATTAAGAACACAATTCAATGTACAATAGCATCAAAAGGATTAAAGTATTTAGGAATTAATTTAAACAATGATGTACAAGATTTACACACTGAAATGATAAAATGCTGTTGAGAGAAATTAAAGATCTAAAGAAATGGGAAGACATGAATTGTTAAGATGGTAATACTTCTCAAATTCAGCTATCATTCCCTATCAAAATTCCAACTTCCTTTTTGGAGGAAATCAACAAGCTAATCCTAAAATTCATATGGTATTGCAAAGTATCCCAAAAAGTCAAAATAATTTTGAAGAAGAAAGACAAAACTGGAAGATTCACACTTCCCAATTTCAAACTTACTACCAAGACATAGTAATCAAGACAATGTGGCCTGGCATAAAGACAGACATATATGTCAATGACATGAAATTGAGATACAGATTTAAAAAAAGGAAGGTTGAGAGCTCAGAAATAAACCTTCACATATATGGTCAACTGAGTTTTTCATTGTTGTTCAGTGCTTAGGGATTGAACCCAGGGCCTCACACATAGGCAAGCACTCTACCAAAGAGCTTTATCTGCAGCCTGGTCAAATTTTTGATAAGGATTCCCAGAGCAATCAATGGGGAACAAACAGTCTCTTCAACAAATGGTACCGGGGAAACTGAATATTCACCTGTAAAAGAATCAAGCTGAATATTCACCTGTAAAAGAATCAAGCTGAATATTCACCTGTAAAAGAATCAAGCTGAATATTCA